CATCCCTCGAGGCGATTGGAGTCTCTTGCTCTCTTGACAGTTCCGCTGACGCGGGAGTCTCAGCTTCCTTGGCCCCTGGCGATCTGAACATGGATTCGAGGTCGGCCGAAAGATCCTTGAGTGGACGAGATTTCATCCTTTCTGTTCGATTCTGGCGTCGTTCAAGGGCAGCTGAGAAACAAACCAAGGAATATTAGCTAGTCCTATCGACCAGGAAATTACAGATACCGGCCAAAGAAATAAGACAGGCTTCAACTGGACTAACCTCTTGTTCTGGTAACTTTCTCTTCCGTGATCTCTGGCCACGTGATCGCGCTGATTGTTGAGAACCGTTCAGCGATGTCGTCGATATCAAGGGGATCGTCGACAATAGGGAGAGGCCTGTTCGCTGCAAAACAAAAAAAAAAACAAATTAATAAGTGATCAAACACTAATTATTCTCAGCTGTTAGACTACAGGTCGGGTAGTTTTCTACCCATGACCTCCGCCCATTTTGTTCAGATCGGCACATCTCAATCAACGATGGAGAACTCGTTGATCAGCATGAAGAAGTATCGATCCCTCCAATCATTGATCTTCGTCTTCTGGCAACCGGTAACGATGTTGGTATAGTATAACCCCTGGTTCCGCAGTTTCTCCTTTGTCCTTCTAGTATTGGTCATAGCGTCAAATACTGCTCGGCTCAGCGGCATGTGGTGATTGACCGACATGACCAGCATGCTCACTATCAAGCGGATAGTAGAGTGGGAGAATAGGGAGATCGACATCTCTTTGTGGTCGGCAAATTCCAGCAGGAGCCTTGGAAGTGGGAACCACAGATGAAATTCCCTAAAAAAGCATTCATAAATGCAGAACCACCTTGCCGGCGCGTGCCACGGGCGTTCAGACGGGCTTGGCACCATAAATATGACTTCGGGGCCGATATCACATTCCTCCTTCAATGTCAATAACTACTCCATGGTCGATTTAGTCGGCATTACCCCTAGAGGGTTGTCGCAGATCGGCCTCTCAACCGGCTCGCCCTTTTCTTCTTCTTGACAGGAAGATTCATATCGATGATTCCAAATTGATTTACCTCGTCTTCCACGATGAGTGTATTCAATTCGTCTGAGATATCCATCTCATTTGAACCCCCTCTCTCGTCGGATTCATCGCGTAATTGGGGAATAAGGAACGGCTCCCGCGAAGATGCTTCTCCACCCATCAGAACGGCCCCGACCTGGTCGGCGTGATATTGATCGGCCGCCGCTCTTTGATTTTCTTCTCTGACCCGTTCCTGGTAGGCTTGGTCCAGCGCTGAGAGATCACTCGCGTTCGAGGACCGATCCAATTCAGATCGGCATACAACAACTTCTTTGCCTTTTGATCGTCTTCTCGCAACTTGGTGTGCACGCGACATCTCTAAGAATTCCTCCAAAGGAACGCCGATCTCTTTCGCCTTCTCACGAGCCGACCTGTTCAAACTCGATTCAGATCGGCCCTCTCTGAGACTTAGATTCTTGCTCATCGCAAATTGGGGCTCCAACGGTTACTTCAGGCTGATCGGAGAAATCACGCGGCGAAGACTGAGCAAAACACGGCGGAGGTCTAATCAGAAAATATAAAAATGAAAAACAGAGAGGAGAGAGAAGAGAGCAAACCTTTTGACAGAGTTTCGCTGAAATGCAGAAGTGAAAATATGAGAGCCGAACCCCTCTTATTTATACGGAAATGAGGACGGTTATCGAGAGTCATCATGAGCTTGACGACTTTTTATATTTCTTCTCATTTTATTTTAATCGGCCTCTTCGCTTTCCTCTTCTCATGTTTGACATGTGTCAAGTCTAGTTTTGCATGTGCAGACCTAGACCTAGTCTATATTACTTTTTGGCAGGAACTTTTCGCGCCCAGACTTACTATGACTCTCGTCATCGCGCGGATCAGGAATTGAAGGTAAAATTTCATTTAATATTCTAACTCTTTTGATAGCCGACCTGAATCCATATCGAGCAACACCTTTTGAAATTCACCAAGTAACGTATCCTCACTTGCCGAACTCGGAGGAGGGACTGACTGTTAGAGATGAGATTCCTACCGTCTCTAAAAGTCCGATATGAATTCTGGTCGGCCCAACTTACAAGGTTCAGATCGGCCAAATAAATGGAAATCTTCCATTTATCAAGCGAACCCGGGAAAAATAGAAGTTTAGTCTTATTGGCAAGAAGGTTTTCCTACTCCGAACATACATAGAAGACCGACCTGATCGGCTATAAATACGGGAAGTCCTCGACTTCTTAAGATCATCCAAAAATACTCTCTCGAGACCTAGGGCAAACTAAGCAATATCAATTGTTCTTAGTCTCGATTCACTTTCCTTTAAAAGTTTAGGTCAGCGTTCTTATTCCGACGACCTAAACCACTTTGTATCTCTCAAGCTCCGGCTCAATTTACTAAAGATCTCTCTTTAAACCCACTAACTTTTGTTTAGTCTTTAGATCGGATTTGAGTTATAACAAACACCATGTCTAATTTTTTTTTAAATAAATAGAATCAATATAAACAAGGGATAATATATGTTTAGGAACATAATATTAATCAGATTCAATCAACTAACCAAAGATTATAATACATAAACCTTAGAAAAAGAAAATTTCGGTGTTTCTGAATTCAAAGGCACCAACTTCAAAAATTATTTGAAGTACTTATTTCATGGCAAATTTAAAATCTGCCTATTTTTTTTTTATCAAAACTACTACCAAAATCGCAAGGAAACAAAAAATCACCACGATCTTAGCAGGAAGACTATTCTTCTCTAAATTAAACATGCATGCTTTACGACCACACTGAGGTTGGACAATTCAATAGATGTCACGAAATTTTTATAAATAGAAGAGGAGTTCAAATGGTATTTAAACATGGCAGGCCATCAAACACGTTTGATGTAGAAGAGAGATTTTATATAAATTAAATGATGATGGCTGCTTATCGGAGTATGATGAAATTGAGTGATAAATATGTTGCAGAATTGCATAATATTTTATGAAAAATGGAAAAGGATATTGAAATATAAAATATAATTATATATTGAAAGATTATATGTTTCAGTTTTCTAACATGTCAAACAATTCTAGAGATAACAGATGCTTAGGTACACAACATTAATCAGATACCAAAGATTTAAATACATAAATCTTAGATAGAGAAAATTTCAGTTTTTTTCCAAACTCATAAGTAGCATTGGAAATTATTTGTATTATTCATTTATAAACAACTTGTAAAACGACCAATTATATATCAAAACGATTACAAAATCGTAAAGAAAACAAAAGCAAAAAAACATCAGGATCTTAGCAAAAAAATATTATTCTAAAAAACATTATTCTCTAACTTTAATATGCATATTTTACGCGTGCATCAAGATTGGACAATTCAATAGGCATCATAAATATTTTATAAATTAAAAAGAGATCCAAATGGAATTTGAACATGGCAGACCAGAAGAGAGATTGTCAATAAATTAAATGGTGATGGTGACTTTTTAGTGTAGAATGAAATTAGGTGATAAATAGGTTGCAGAATTGCATAATTGTTCATAAAAAATAGAAAACATATTGAAATATACAATATAAATATATATGAAAATAGTATTTATTTTAGTTTTTTAACATGTCAAACAATTCTAGAGATAATAAATGCTTAGATACACAATATTAATCAGACACTATAGAATTGAATACATAAACCTTAGATAAAGAAAAATTAAGTTTGTTTCTGAATGCATAAGCAGCATTGGAGAATTATCTATATTATTCATTTATAAACAAATTGTAAAACGACATATTATATATCAAAGCAATTACAAAATCACAAGAAAAAACAAAAGCAAAAAAAAAAACATCAGGATCTTAGAAAGAAAAATTATTTTTCTCTAAATTAAATATATATTTACGACTGCATCAAGATTGGACAATTGAATAAGTATCATAAATATTTTATACATCAAAAAGATATCCAAATAAAATTTGAGCATGGAAGACCATCAAATACATTTAATGTAGATGAAAAATACAATTATTTTTTATTATCGTTGTTGATCTTGATAAAATAGAAGTGGGTAACAAACATGCTGTTGGAATTGCTAAAAAAATATTAAAATATAAAATATAATACTATATTAGAAAAATTTATGAAATTTTTATGTAAGTTCATTATGCTTTTGATAATTTAAAGTTAATAACAAAAATAAAAAATTTAGATTAAATTAATAATACATATCCACACGTAGCACGAATTATAAACTTAATAAACTTATACAGACAATATATCCAAATTTAATTAGACTATAAAAATGAGATAAATAAGACACAATTTTGACAGAAGAAATAGATAACATATTTCAACTATGGAGCATTGATGTGTTGTGTTTTATTTTGTAGTATTTTATTATAAATATTTGTCAAACTTATTACTAATTTTTTTTTTGTCATAGTCTGTTATTAATTAAATAACTAAAATAAATAAATAAATATATGTACTATTTTCTAGAAACATGATTAATACAAATATTATTTACTATTTATAAATAAATTTAGTAATTGTTTTAAAACATATGTCAACAACTTAATAAGAAACATATCATAATAAATATGGAAAATAAAATCCAATTTTTTTATGTATTTGAGGCAATAAATAAAAGTCAACGTGGTGATTGGTGAATATGGGCCATTAGCATTTTACCATTTTAAAATCTTTAGAGAAAGACTAAGTGGGGGCAAAATATTCAAATACACTTTATTCACATAAATTCAACAGGCGCAAAAAGAAGCTTTTTAAATTCATATAATCTGCTGTTGCCGTCATTAGTTACCATATATTTCACAAGAGAAGTCTTCCTTCAAGTGCTTATTTAAAAGACCGAGAGATAGATTATGGTAATGAATTTCTCTTGTGTTGATTAAGAGAAAACATAGAAATCAATCATGTCATCTCTTTTGTTGAGAAATTAACTCGAGAAAAGATCTATGTCTCGGCTTGTAAACCGGTCATCTGTCAACGTGTTGAGAATGCACCAGTCATCTGTTGATGAGAATGTTGCAATGTTCTTACAATATGGTTTATCAGAAGAATCAGAACCCACGATTAATGATAATGTTATTGCTCGGGAGATTCAACAACAATACCAAAACAATATTATTTTGGACGATGCTGCTATTGCATTGGTGATTCAGCGAGAAGAAGGTACTATATAAATCATATATATATATATATAATATAATATAATATATTTACATAGATAGTTTTCAGTTTTCAGTATTAATTTTTTTTTTCGTTTGTATATGATTTTTAAATCTCATTGTGTCTTTCTAGACCGATCACGCTAAAACCTTTCCATATTTAATCGTTAAAAAACAAAAAACATATAAGTAGTACTCCCAATTTCATATGTTTTGCAGGAAATCTACCGACCTCTCTAAGCGATGATGAAAAACTAGCTAGATATTTGCAACAACAAGATGAACGTAAGTATATAGTTTTTTTCACTATATGTTTTAATTAATTTTATAATTTATCGATTGAAAATATCGTTCCAAGCTTTACTATTTTATGATCCTCGGACCCCATCACTAAATAGTAAGGACGAAGATATATCCAAGAAACCCATCAAAACCAACCTATCAAGTTATCAATAAATAACGAGTCCCTTTATATATTGTATTGCATATATTTATGTATTTATTAGATTAAAAATCCAACCAAGTTGGAATAATAAGTTTCTAATAATTTTTTACCTTAATTGTTTTTTATAAAATTGTTCAAAAACATAAATTTGAAATAGAAGGATGATTGAATATTTGAATTGTATCCCGTCAGAAATATTTTCTCATGACTTTTTTCTATACTCTACATTGACGATTTTATGTTTCCTTCAATCTGCAGGGAATCATTCATACATGCCTGAACGTGATGTTCCCTCGGTAATAGTGACTTTTCACATTCTAAAAAATTATTACAATATTGCAAAATCTATTAAATCCGCAATAGCTAGTGACTATATATATTCCCTGCATTTCTTTATTTTTATCAAAATTTATGATTTTATGGTTACTCAGAATATATATATGGTTGTGTATATTTTTTTTATTACCCTAAATTGACACATATGATTGACGTAAATTGGTTATTTCTTGCAAATTTTATGCTTTGGATTATTCTTTAGATAAGTAGAGATTTTTTTCACTATGAAGATGGTGATTACTTCTCGGGTCATCATACACATACTCGTACCTCTTCAAATATCTCATCAGTTACTTCCCCAAATTATCCTGCTAATGAGAACATTGATCCCGCAAATATGACTTATGAGGTATGTACCATGCAACGTTTTCAACCAATTATATATATATATGATCCGGAAAGTAAAACTTATCTATCAATGTTGTGTTCTTTTGATTTGGATGAAAAGGAATTAAATCAGTTAGGAGAGTCCATCGGAGATGTTGGTAGAGGTTTATCACAAGGGCGGATCTCCAAATTACCGACTCATAAGTACGGTACTAAAACCAAAACTCGGTGGTGGCAAATTAAGAAAAAGAAGTTTATCGCAACTGCTACTGAGTAAGATCATATCTCTATAAATTTCATTTATCTTGCTTGTTGGTTCCTTTGGATTTTTGCTTTGTTACTAAATCAAACTAATCCATCGAATTAATAGTTATTCCAATTAAAAGTAAGTTCTTATTTAGAGCGTGTTTCTAAGTTTGATTTGTTTTGGTTTGGATGTAATTATAGGTGTTCGATATGCCTCGTCGAGTATGAGAATGGTGATAAGATAACAACATTGCCATGTAAACATATCTACCACAAGGATTGTATTTCACAATGGTTGGAACAGAACAGTGTATGGATATAAACTTACTCTAATTTTCTATTAAAACAAATGTCCATATATCTATTATGTATTGCGTGGAACATGTAAAACATATTCTAATGAATATAATACTGATTTTGTTTATGCAGGTATGCTGCGTTTGCAAAGCCGAGGTTTAAAAGTGAAAATTCCCGTCGGACCGTAACTTCTAGCAATCTTTAATATTATTTGGGTTTAGAATCTATTAAAAGTTATCATTCAATCATTCCCACCTAATTTCAAACTTCCACCATTTGTTTGGATTTTAGTACCTTCTAAACATTTTGGCATTTCGTATTGTTTGGACTATGGAATTATATAATATTGATAATTTTAGTATTTGGCCATATATATTTTTATATAACTATTGATTTGTTATAAAAAATGGTGCTACTTATTGTTTTAAAATAGATATGTATGATTTATATGTGTTTAATTGAAGTAGGCTAATTTGTTTTTCTTACAAATATTTCCTAAAATAGTTTATTTTTGTTACATATATTTGTTCTATGTATTTTCTTTTTTCTGCTTAAATTGTTTTTTTCATTGTTTTCCATTGAACATGTGTTAATTTATATTTTGTTAAAATCTAATTGGTAAAAATTTTCATATATGTCGAAATTTGATATGTAGATTTGACACGTGTTGAAATATCAAAATTTATATAATAAGATAGGTATGTATAACTTATCTATCTATATTGTTACTTTATATTACTTTTTATTAAAAATTGTTGTGTTCTATTTTCTACACCATGTTTTACGAAAAAAGAGTTAACATTTGGCTTGTCTTTATTCAGTGACAGTGTACAACTTTAACTTGCATCACTTTTAGACGTTTAATTATTTTATGTTTCTAATAATTAACTCCTAATTTTAATTAATATAACTAGTCTAAAATATATTTAAAAAAATTCACCAGTCTCTTAAGGCGAATATTGGTGGCTTGTAATGGATTGTTAAGTTATATGGACTTCCAACTCAAAACCAATTGGCAATGAGTGGATTGACACAAATCTTATATAAACTAGTGTTGGTCTCTTTAAACTTCCGATGTGGGATTCCAACATGGATCATTAAAGATGATGACGTTGAGACTGCTCCAAAACTGAGGATTGTGCGACTTTTCCAATTTCATTATTATCGGACTAAAAATAAAGATATGAGCACATATTTATGCTAGACGGGAATTTATAATTGCTTCAGGTGTGGGATCTCCAGTTCACTCTGAATTCTTTGCACTGAAACCATACACAAATAGTATTATCAAGCTAAAAGTGGTTGTGAAGTTGGGAAAGAATAGACCAACTTCTATTAGAGTCACAGATAAGTTGGGTAATTCAGTTTCTGTTTCAATCAGTGCTGGTGCTGAGCTAAGTTCGGGAGGATGGACTCGTGTAGTGCGCCGTTCAAAACTTCATCCCCCTGCCTCCTCCACTTCAGGTTCCTTTGGTAGGATTTCAAGACTCCCAAATATATGATTCTCAATTTTCTGAGGAAGAAGAGCTTATTAAGTTAGCTCAGATATGTCTGTTGTTTCTAGGAGAAATGCCAGAAAACAGCAGACATAAACTCCTCTCTTTATCTTGCTTTGGGTCTGAGGGAGTAGAGCCTTCAGTCTCATCTTCTTTTGGACAAGTGCATGTGCGTTCTGTTCACTCTGCAGTAACTTAGTTCTTGGACTTACCCCTCTTTTGTCTCTCTATTAAGAGGTTTTTTGGAATATGAGGGCCTTAACGGCGATACCAGGCAGCTATTAGTTAAAAGGTGGATTAACACTAATCGCCCTTTGCTAGGCGGTTTTTTGGAAACACATGTGAAGCAACCAATTTTATTAAATCTTATGAATAAGGTATTACCGGGTAGGAAGTTCGAGGCTAATTATTTTGTTGAAGCGGATAATGTCATGTTGTATTGGATCCTCTTCTATCAGTCGTCGTCTATTTGAAAAATCTTCAGTTAATTCTGTGCAGAGTTTATAACCCTCAGAAAAATGAAAAATTTACTGTTGTTTTTTTTATGCGAGAAATCAGCATGAAGAAATAATTATTTTGTGGCCCTCATTAAGGAGTTAGCTTCATTTTCATTAGTGGGGCATTCTCCTTGGATTTTAATGGGTGATTTAAATCAGCTGCCTTCGATTTCAGAGCATGGGAGAAACTCTAATGGGATTCTTAGTTATTATTTAATTATAATTTTTTTGTTAAAAATTTTTGTTAAAATAATTTTATTTTCTATGCTCCAATGATAGAATCTTATTTAAGAGGTTCTTAAATTTTTTTTTTTAATTGTAAATAGAGTTTATATTTTAAATAAAACATAAAACATATTACATTGATTGAATTTTGAAATATACTTGACATAAAAACATTTTAAACATAAATTTTGAAATAATGAACGGAAAAAAATGCTCAGTTGTTATCTTGACCACATCCATATTTCTGCCATATATGCTCAACCAAATCAGTTTTCAATTGTTGATGCATTTGTTTAGCACGAAGTTTAGTTCGAACACCCAACATATTGGCGAGATTTGTAGGCATATTTGTAGAATACGTGAGATCTACATGTGAACTTCCGTTTCCTTCTCCTTGGAAGCCTGAGATATCAAATTGAGTGTATCCATCTCATTCGTCTTCTACTATCATATTGTGAAATATGATACATGCTCTCATGATCTTTTCTATTTTTGTTTTATCCCAAAAAGAGCTGGATTTCTAACAATGGCAAATCGAGCTTGCAAGACTCCAAAAGCGCGCTCGACATCTTTTCGGGTTATTATTCTTAAAGTTACCTGATTAGCAAATACAAATGCTCCTCGGACATGTTTTGGTATTATTTCTGCGATATAAACTGGTACGTGATTGTAAAAGAGAGGTAACATAGAGTTCAGTTAAAAATAAATAAAAAACAAGAAAATATCTCGCTGTATATTCAAAGAAATGAATAGAGAAAAAAAAGTAAAAGATTACTTACCAAGTAGCTGAATAAACCAACAGCAATTCATGTGGATAGTCTTCCAACATTCAACCATATCGTGTCCTCTGCTAAAGCTATTGCAAGCCAACCGGCAATGCAGAAAATTTGACCAAACCACATCGCCTGTTTGAAAAATAACAAATAATAAGTACTTAGCTTGATAAGTTTTAGATGTTATAGTATTTAGATATTTTAGAGATGATGAAAGTTTACCCCTTTTCAACACGAGATCTGCGACTTTCCCGCTGATGAGAGCACCAATCATCCCTCTGAAAGTCATGATTGATCCAAACATGGAGTACTGAAGTAATTTAAATAAAATAAAAGATACAAATCTTGACTAAAAATGGCTCTCCGAGTGAGAATTACTTTATGAGTGAAGAGGAATCATAAGAAAATAGTTTGCTCTCTTACTTGTGCAACAGAAAGGCCTAAATCTGTTATGATCCCTGCCTTTAAACATCTCATGAACCGGTTCTTGCTCCTCGATATCAACATGTTCAACCCAAGTGACCTGTGGTTGTATGTATATTCAAAGATACAATCAGATGAATTCGAGATGCTGATAAAAAGAAACAAACAGAACAGTTACACACACCTTGGAATAGCCATTGGACATTTCTTGAATCAAGCAAACAGAAGCTCTGTTTGTGCTGATTCAAATCAGAAGAAGGCAAAACTGAATAATTCAATAAAGGAACTGGAAAATTCTTCAAGTTCTCGCAAAACTGAATATACCAATGTGGGTATAGACGAAATAGAAGAAAAAAGAAACACAAAAAATGGAAAAGAGAGCCAAACCTCTTGACGTTCTTGTGTCGGAGCTTGGTCAGCCAACATAGCATCCATCACCCACTCAATCGAACTCGTCAGCTCTGGTGTCATCATAGGCAACGACGAAGGTGGTGGCAGTGGAGGTTCAAGTTAACCTCTCGCAAAAGAATCCCTTGCATATTCCAAATGCTCAGATTTAACTTTCCTAAAGCCATAGATTTCAAGCCGGAACACGAAGTCGGTCATCTCGTTGATTTGCAAGGATCATCCACCATTTGAATTACTCTGCTCAAAGGTTCCTGCAAAATCAAAGAAAACATCCTACCAATTAAAGTCCCTATTTTAAAAACCAATTAGAAGAATTCGATCGAAACCCATCAAGAAATCAAAGGAGCATCACCAAATTATAAGAAATTCACAAAAAAGCATCAAAGGAGCATCACCTTTGCTTCGAGAAAGTCACCTGAGGGCTCGATCTTCTTAATCGTGATCTTTCCCCCTTCCACGATCCCATCCATGAACATCGTCAACTTAATCTGAATCGCGAGAAGAAGTGTAGAGGGATAGGAAGCAAGAGATCAGTAGAAAAAACAAATTGTTGTGTTCTCTGATCACTTTTCAATCAGATATAGACACATAGCAAGTAAAATCCGTTTCTTAAACACCTTAATTAGGAATCGTCTCCTCTCTTTTCATTTAATTTTTATTTATTTAAACACCTAATTATGTTAAGAAGCTTACTTAAGGTACTGCGTTGCAGGTGCTTTCAGAAGCTTTTTCACTCTCTCCAACCACAATTAACTTGCAAGGCATGAGAGATTTTAATGGGTGTATTACCATGAGTGAAGTGTTTGATCTGGTGTTCAGAGATTGTCAGTTTACTTGGAGTAATATGAGTCCTACCAATCCCAAAGCTAGAAAGATTGATAGAGCTTTGGTAAATAAATCTTGGCTGGCAATATATCATGATCCAATTGCTCTTTTCGATGCCCCAAGCTCCTCTGATCACCCTTGGTGTCTCCGTGCAATGATCTTGGAGTGCAGAAATATTGGTTTATCTTCTTCAGCTTTTTTACTTTTCATCCATATTACTACTCTATTCTTATGCGAGATGTTTGGAACACCTTGATCATCTGTTCAAACCCTATGTTCTCTTCTTTATCAGACTTCGCAATGCTAAATTTTGTTACAGTTCAAGAGACGTTTACACCTGAACACACTATTTTGCTATTTGATTACAATTTGCACATTTTTTGCTGGTGGAGCACTTTGTTATAATTTTTGTATCCCTAATTGGCAATTCTGCCTTTAAATGAGGTGGTAGAATTTAGTTTTTTACATGGTGTGGGTCACTGTTTTTTTTTTTTTTTGCCGACATTATTGAGTTTCACAGATCTGAATAATGGCTGCCCCCAGAAATTTTTCAGAAAATTGAAGAGTTTGAATATCAGACTTCCGGTGGCACCCATGAACACCAATAGAGATCAGACAGATTCTCTTTTTCTCTTTTTTTCCCATCACTGGATTCTCCTTATTATATTTTTGGATTTTGTTAGCAAAAATAAAATTTGCCTGGTTTCAATCAGGATTTTTATTTCTTTCATAAACGAATCTAAACATTTATATTATTCAATAAATTAGAAGTGGTTGTTTTTCTTTTCAGAGAACTCCTCGGAAATTTTGGTTGGAAAGAGGAAAGAGAAAGAGCACATGAGGGAAGTTGAAGATCGATTCCTCTTCGAGAATATGAACAGAACAAGGTGTATCTCTGGATTGGGAAGCTCGATGGTGGTTATCCATACTTGTCTTCATATAAAATGCCTTTTTGGGTGTGTATGCTTTTTGGGTTTGTTGTCCATAGCACACTGTCCATTACCAATTGTCCATCCAAAGTTGTATATATCGATGATTATCTAATGTAATATTTATAAGATCTGAATTATCTGATGCAATCTTTGCTTATATCGATTTCTTTGTATCCATGTTGGCATCACTAAACTTGGTGAAAAAGTTTATTTCTTTAGTGTTATATTTGGTCAGCAAGTAAAGAAACAACACAAAATCAAAATCCAGCCAATTATATAAAGAAATTATTTCAGTATTTCTGAAGAGGTGATGCTTCAACGTCCATACTGCTTCATCCATGTCGTAACATCCACGCCATTGTATCCATGACTCTGCATCCATGCCGCTATATCCATGCTGATGTATCTATATATGACTATCCACTATATCTAGTCCATATTTTTTTAGACAATACTCTATGATATCGTTCTTGGCTGTACCTTTTGGAAATTATTGAAGGTCGGTTTAATCTCTCTAATTTCAGAGAATCTGTGGAAAGCTTTGTACAAGTTCTCAACTAAATCACTGTACAAACTCCCAAATTCAATCACACAATAATATAAATCTCATATATTACAAAACATGGCATTTAGATTGAACAAAACTTACTAAAAGCCAGATCTGGGTTAGTGGCAAGGTGAAACTCTGAGAACAATTAGAATTTCTGGGTTTAAGATTTTTATAAGGGTGGAAATCTTTGCATCTGTGGTCTAAGGTTGTTTGGGAAAGATAACGCTGCTGATTTGCTGGATCAGAAAAATTTAGGTTATCGATAGAAGTAGATCTATTATCAGATTCTTCTGTTTTCATGAAAGTGTTTGTGAGATTGAGCAATAAGATTTGCAGAATTTTTTAACTAGAAAGCGGTAATGAGTAAAAAAAAGAAGAGAAAGAAGTGATGAGTAAAAAGAGAAGATAATTAATAAAGGATAATAGAGTATTTTTATGCTAAGAAAGTATGCTAATAGTTAAAAATGCTCTTTTTGTTATATAAATTAAAAAAAGTGTCCATGAATGTAAAAAAAAACTCAATATTCAATTACATATTAAGACCATCTCCTATGTATATCTCTATTTTTACTCTAAAATAGAGTAACTCCAAAATAGAGTTAAGTTTTGCTCCTATATATATATATATATATATATATATATATCAATTTTTCATTTTAACAGAAAAAAATATTCTAAATAGATTCCATTTCTATTTTATTATTAATATATTTTATTTTTAAAATTTATAAATAAGCCTCATTTATTTTGTTGTTTGCAAATTTTTATAAATATAAATTAAATATCTATTAAATAAAAAAAATTACATAATATCATAAAAAAACAAAGATTTTTTTATTTACACATTACCATTACAGAAATTTTCTCACAAATGATCAATTAATGCATTTCAAAGTGAAAAACAAATATTTTCATCTTTAATTTTTCTAAATCCAGATATTCGTCTATGCATTCAAAATGAGCAAGTAAAACATTTACAGAAGAGGAATACTCAACAATTTTCTCCTCCATCCACTTTACTTGGACAACTTTTGAATAATCTTGGCGGGTCAGGAAGCAGTTTAGAGAATTATTAAATTTCGTATATTTCTTATATTAAATTTATTTATGTTACTTATCATAACTTCAGCACTTTTTTAATTTTTTTTTAGGTTTATTTTATTTACAGTCTTTTCTAAATAATATTTTTAATATTTTCATATTTATAATTATCTGTTTTATAATATTTACAAATATTAAATAATATAAAATAAAATTATTTAATATTTCAAGGATCAGTTTGTAAATAAAAAAATCAACTCTAAAATGGAGTAAAATTTAGGTTTACTCCAAATAAGGAGTAGAAATTAGGTTTTGATAGCTTGCTATTTTAGATCATTTTAGGCTGTATTTCATGTATCATTTCCTCTGTTTTTGCATTATAGTTTAGCATTTTAGTATCATTTGCACTTAGAATCAACATAGCATGTATTTAGCTTAGGATTGCATACATTTGCATATATGTGCATGTTTGTAGTGGTTTTCAGGTGTTTTTGGAGTTTCTTGGAGTTGGGGAAGAAATGGAAGCAGCTCATGATCAAAGAAGATGTCAAAAGTGGAGTTCTTGCAAAGTCTGGTCATATGGAGCAAGCATATCGAGCAGAACACCCGTGGAGTGTGCTTGATGCAAGCAGCATGACGAGATGAGAAGGATCAGCACGAGGAGTCCAAGCCGTTGGTCTGCATCGAGGACCAGCATCGAGGATGGACGTTGATACACGCGGCCATATCGAGGTCGCATATCGAGCAGAACATCGACCGTACGACCTCGATGCAACACATCTGCGTTGACCATTTGACTTTTCTTAACCTTATCTTATCTTTTTAGGTTTTTTATGCTTCTTTTGGCTCACTACTATAAAAAGAAAGCCACAAAACATTATCCTTATCAAGCTTTATTCTATCTAATCTCAAAAACTCTCTTTAAACCTTAAAGGGAGATTTTTCCTTAAGGATCTTGATCTTTAATAAAGTTTGCATTTTTATAGTTTAATCTTGTCTTTAATCCTTTGTTCTTGCATCTTGGTAGCTTAGATTTATCATCTTTTTCTTTTTAAACTCATCTAATTATGTTTAACTCCAAATCAATGAGATTAAACATGATTAGTGAGTAGTCTTCTTTAGATTTAGGGTTCTAAGTAGGAAAAGTGGTGACTAAGATGTGATTAGAGGGTGATTAGGCTTGTTTAATGGTTCTCTGTTATCTCCTTCTCTTGCAAAGTGATTAATGTTGATAAAGCATGCTCTTTTTGATTGAATATGGTTTGATAGATGCATATGGTTCACTTGATGTCTTGATATCTCTTCTCTAAGTACAGTTCACTTATTTGGCTTGATAGTCTAGCTTGGTCTATGTTTCCTTTGTTCAGTGACACCAAAGTGATAGTTCACCTTGCTAGATGATTCGCTTAGGGCTTGATAATGCTGGTTTTGAGATTCTTGACTTGATGGTCAGATAGTATGCATTGAAAGATCTTGTCTTTGCTTCATTCTTGTTCATTGCTTAGCTGCTTAGGTCTTTATTGGTTCACAAGATTGATAAGTTGATCTGAATTCTTGGGTGAGAGAGTAGTTTCTTGATTGGTGCATCTCTTAGGCTAGAATGGTTCTATTCTTTATGCTCATGGTTGAAGGATACGCCATCACAAGTGGGTCTGACACTTTAATCTTGTTGAATATGAATTGCTTATTGACGCCAAGTGGTTCCCATTAGATACCTTGTCTAGGAGCATAACATTGAGAATTGCTTGCTTGTTAATGCTTGTTGAGTGCTTTAGAAAGAAATCTCCTTGTCACTCTAGAAAACCACTGTCCCATAATTGCTTATAACCTTGAGTCTTGCTTTTAATCAATTGTGTTCAAAGTCATCTTGCTTAGTTCTTGCTTTAGTAGTCATTTCTTGCTTAAGTACTTGTCTTAGTCATTGCTTTAATTTTATTGTTCAGCTTTGTTCACTTGCATTTAGTTTATGCTTTCCTTTTATTGCATCATTAGGTTGCTAGTCTTGTTCTCACATAATCAAACCCCAAATCTTGCTTAACTTACATCATTGTTAGCATCTCATCTCCCACAATTGGAGTGATACCTGATCTCTATTCTACAATTGATTAGTACATCAGGACATTTGAGTTTAGACCCAAAAAGTCTTGTTTCAAATTGGCGTCGTTGCCATTGTGGATTGTTTGAGTTTAACATTGCTGTTAGACTAAGTTCTTTACTTTAAAAGTTACTAAATTGCTCTGTTTTCTGTGCTCTGTTTTTTCAGGTACTTGTATAAATTTGAGGTCTAAAGGCTCATCAAATCTGACTCCTTTCATTGAAAACATTCATAGGAGAAGAGCTGTAAGACAGAGAGTTCAAGAGTTAGAAGTACAGAGAATGGTAGAGCAGGAAGCTCAGTTACCACATGTTGGTGTTGTTGGACAAGCACCACTACAACAAGCTGCAACACATATAGGTGAAGCACAAGAAGCTTTGAATCAAGCGGCTGGAGTTCAAGGATTGCGAGTACCAGTTCATGCACCTAGAGCTGCAAGACCAATAGGAGCTGGTGATGCACCTGACACTCACCACAACAGAAATGGCATTCACGCTCCAGCTGTACATCATAACCACTTCGAGATCAAGCTTGGGTTGATCAACATGGTGCAAGGCAACAGATTTCATGGCCTGCCCAATGAAGACCCTTTGGATCATCTTGACCAGTTTGATAAGGTGTGTGGTTAGACCAAGATTCAAGGAATCTCTGAAGATGCTTTGAAGCTGCGCTTATTCCCTTTCAGTTTAGGTGACAAAGCACATCAGTGGGAGAAGACACTTCCACAAGGTTCAATCTCTACATGGAATGAGTGCAAGACAGCATTCCTCAACAAATTCTTCAACTCAACAAGAACAGCAAAGCTCAGGAACAACATAAGCAGCTTTACTTAGCATGGGAATGAGACATTTACTGAAGCTTGGGAGCGATTCAAGTCTTACACTTTGCAGTGCCCATACCATGGCTTCACCAATGAAAGCTTGCTGTCTACTTTATATAGAGGAGTGACGCCAAAGTACAGAATGCTCTTGGACATAGCTTCCAATAGAAATTTCATGGGAAATACTGTTGTAGATGGTCTAGCTCTTATGGAGAACTTGACACTTTCTGATGGAAACTATGGTGAGGAATATGACAGAACATCTAGAGCTGTTGTAAGCACTGAAGGTGAGAGCACAACAAAGAAAGAGATTAAAGCTTTGAATAACAATTTAGACAAGCTTCTGAGTGTGTCTTTCAAGAATGTCAGTTTTGTTGGAGATAATGTTGTTACACAAGAGGAAGATGGGACAGTTGTAAAAGAAGAGGCCTTCTACATGAATCAACAAGGAGGCGGTTTTAACAACTACAGGAACCATCCCAACTTCTCTTATAGAAGCACCAACGTGGCTAACCCTCAGGATCAAGTCTATCCATCACAAGCTGCTCAACAAAACCAAGGAACCAAACCTTTTGTTCCTTTCAACCAGCAGAACAACTTTGCTTCAAGACCACCATTTCAGGGCGGTTTTCAACAAGCTAACTTTCAGCCAAGACCAGCTTTTCTACCACCAGGTTTTGGCAATACACAAACCTCTTCCA